GGCACGAGGGATTATTGCAGCCCTCACGAGTGGAGTGTCGCATACACAACACATGCTGCTCGCCATTGCTCTCATATGTAGAGACCCACTTTTGGTCTGAACTTGAGCGCGAGTCCCCAAATCGCGCCAATTGCTTTCCTGCGCCCTTAGCGCCACCTTTGCCACCACCCTTTCCTTTGCCTTTGTTACCCTTACTTGGACGCCAGAAATTCCGAGGCACATCGACAGGGACATTCTTAGGGGGCAAAGGCCTGGGCTGCAGAAGGGAAGCCATGTCCGAGCGGACGTCAACTACTTCAGCAATCGCATCGTCCAATGACCACTTCTTGCTGTTCACGAGCTCTGCAATGATTTCCCACAGACGCCGATCAGCCGCCATCATTTCTTCTGCTGTGGGGCCACGCAGCCCCGAGCCGGCCTCATACCTTTGAAACGCAAGTTTGAGGAATTTGCGCTCATACATGCGGAGGGAACCCAAATGAGCGGCTTTTACTAGCGCGAGCCCAAGTGTGTTTAACCCCAGTAGGGAACTCAGAAGATGAAAGCCTACCTGCCCGGTTGGGATTTCGCGGCTTGGCGCATCATCATACAAGAAGTCTTCTAGCCTTGGAATCTTCGAGGGTCTGCGCAAAGAATGGCTCTCGTGTTGGGCTTGCGACATTCTGTACTTCCAAGGTACCCACTTCAGCTCCCCTGGCGTCGCGTACTTGAAGCATAAGGCCAACATTCTAGAGCTAGGAAAGTTCTCTGAATCTAGAAGCTCACCAGGGTATGCGCTTTCGAAGGAATCACGCAAGGATTGAACCTTTTCCCCTGAGAGCTTTGCTGGAAAGGATTCTGACCAGGAGTCCCTGTGCACTGGCGGCGCAGGCGGGGCCTCGGGCGTGGACTTATTTGGCTCTGAGAGAAGGCCCTGATGCTGACGACACTTATCGTACAGGAGTCTGAACGATGAGAACAGTAGCAAGCGCTCTGCAGCTGACTCAGGCACAGCCGTATCTGAGAGGAGTTCTTCCAAAACTTGATCAAGCGTTGATGCGTCGGCAGCCGCCCTGCCGAATAGTGCAATGTCAAAATTGCGGAGCACTTCATGGTGCGACTCCGGCACTTTGCAAGCGCAAGCTAAACGCAGAAGCTCCCCATCCACGGCCAACATGTCTGCATCCGACATGACAGCGCTCACTACAGGCACACAGCTACGCAACCTACCGCTAGTGTCTCACACGAACCGGCAAAAGCTCGCAGCACGCAAGGCTGTACACAACGAACCCAGTCTCTCTCTCGTCATGACGCAGATGGACCCAGCGCATGAAATACTCAATGCATGAATGGAGAGTTTAACACACGTCAACGTGCAGTTAGCGCCACGCATGACAACGACAGTAGAGTTCAGCAGTAGATACCCCAGTCTACCACAACAAAGCCAGCCTAAAGCAAGCTAGCAGGACAAGCATGAATGCAAAAACGTGGAAAATTCCACTAATATCTGACGGCAAACATACCACGCTCACAATCCTAAAGACTGCACGCTCTCAAAGCCACAAAGACTGACAGCAGTCTTGTTAGACGCTCTGCTCAAAAGCTCTGAGTCATAGCGTGCTCTCAGGACCCAAAGACTGACAGCAGTCTTGCAGGACGCTCTGATCAGTTCAACTCGCAGCTCCATCGCGCAACATATCCAGACTACAGTCTACAGAAAATACGAGCCACACACACTGAGCTAACAGGATAAGTTCTGTCACAACACCATAGGTACACACTACAAGGTTTCAACGCTCCATAACGCTCTGACCGCAGCCCGACAGCGGGCGAAGTGCGAAGCTCCGAAGCACTGTACGCACAGAAAGACTGGCAGCAGTCTTGTTGGGAAGCTCTGAACCCGCAGCAGAAGCTCGCAAGCGAGACCGCAGTCTCTCTTTTTTCCGACGCTCAAGCACAACAAAGCTTTGTGAATACAGGCACTACAGTTGTTCAATTACGCTAGAACTGTTGCTACCTCCACATATCCAAGGGTGACACCCGCGCACTGGAAAGCTTACCTTGCTACACGCGCTCACAAGACAGCCTCATCGCTGCCATTACCCAACAAGCTACTGGCACGCTGTTCTGCCAAGACGCGAAACGCTGCAACGCAAGCCCTATGTTGACACTTCCGCGCGTCGGCCAGAAGCATGTCCAGCACTTTTAGGTGTTTGCATAAGGCACCACATTGTGGACGCACGGTCACCACACAATCACTCGACCGCTGCAGGGCCACGCCAAGACTCCCGCTGCACGGGGCACACACATGACAAACACCTGAGGCTGCCTGCGCGAAAAGGAGGTCCTCAGCATCACTTTGGGCTTTTGCTTTGGACTGCCGTGTCGGCCGAGAAGCATCACTTTCCCCAGACGAGGACGCCGCGTCTGCAACTGGGCTGTCCGAAGGGTCAGGATTACTCGAGGCAACAGGCCCAGTAATCACTGCAG